CTGCCACTCGCAGAAGGGGCGGCTGGCCGACCCCTCCGACGTCTCGGCACGTCCCCCTGCCTCGGCCCGAGCGGCCGCCGCGGCGCTGCTGCCCGGCGGCGACCCCGCCAGGATCGTGCTGAGCGGCCGGGCCTGCTGCCGCGGCGTGGGCAGGCTCAGGCAGCTCCCCGTGTCGGCCGACACCAGGAGCAGGCGGGCGGGGGACTGGACCTCGGAGTGGCCGTGCGGCGTGCCGGGGCGCTGCGGCGAGAGCGCAGTGCAGCAGGAGCCCTCGCCGCCGACCCCCGCCGCGTCGAGGCGGGGGTCTGCCGCGGCAGACGCGGCGCCGCCCCGGGAGCTGTCAGCGTCGGTGAACACGCGCGTCGCGGAACCGGACAGGCTCAACAGCGGCTCGTCCTCGAACCCAGGCTTGGGCACGGTGTCTGATGATGCCAGGCAGGGGACCTCCGGCTCCTCACAGCAGGCCCTGCAGGTTTTGTTGGGAGGGGGAGCGGAAAGGGGTTGATGGCAGGATTGATGCGGCACGCCATTCCCCATTCTGTCGAATGAATCGAAAAACATCCACATGAGGAGCCACTGGGGTGCCAGACCATGGCCTAGCCCAGTCAGGCAAAGGATGCCAGGCAAGAATGTTGAGGGAACCCTACCCCACATCCAAAACCAGGGGCAAAATCCAAGCGCCAGGGTAACAACGACGCACCATGCATCTTCCAGCTCCCTGGCTTGTTCCTCAAGGTGCATGGCCAGGCATGGGAAGGTCTCGGCATCCATGAGGTCAGAGGACAGCAGCTCAGAAGGACTCAACAGGCCCTCCTGTGGGGGGGAGGGGGGCGAGGGTTGGACGATATCCCACCCAAAACAGGCAGGTGTGACATGCCCCGCCTAGAGACGGCGCGATCAGGTGACAATGGCCCATGATGCATGGAGGAGCATAGCACTGGGGCGTGCATGGTCGCATTGGCCGGAATCCATGCCCGCCGACTGGAAGCATCGATGGGAACTACCCGCTCCCCCCAAATTCAAACGCGAGCACAACGGCACCGTCAGGGAGCAGCATGCCGCATCGCAGTCGCTCTGCGATGCCATATCATGCCCGTCAACACACCTGGCAGGGGGAATCCAGACTCCGCCAGTCCAATCCGCATCCCGGGGTTGGCGGAGTTGACATGAGCGCCGTCGCTAGAAGCTCCTGGTCCCCTCTCTCGCCACAGGCATATGGGAGTTCGCTGAGAGCATCCATGAGAAGCTTTTTGTGTCCAGCAAAGCCGAAGCGTGGTCAATGTTGGGAGAAAGGGGAATTACTCCTGAGTTTGGCGCCAAAACGTGTCCGGTGCCGGAGACAGGCAGCACTCGGGTCTGGGGAGATATTCGGATCGACCACCCCACCCAACAATGCCAGGCTGGATCGGACTGGTCTGTGCTTTGGGCAGGAGCTGGTGAAAGCGCCTGCTATCACCGTGTGGAGTCCCGGAGCTGATCACCCTGCGCGTACGACGCCTGATCCCACCCTTTCCACCGCAGTCAACGAGCTCCACCTTCATCTGGCTGCATGAGCCCGCGCTGGACCGCGGACCCGAGGCGCCGTGTTCCCGCGAAACTCTCAAAAACACCGGCTCCCATGACTTCTACACCAAGTGCAGGGTATGCAGCATCCTCACTCCAGGTCCATGCTGGGGCCGCGCAGGGACAGGGGGTCTCCCGCCCTGAACCGCATGGAGGTGCTGAAGCTCCCAGAAGGCAGCGCTGCCAGCGCCAACTCGTCAGGGTAGAGGTGGATGTCCTGGTACAACATCCGAAGGCGCTCCGCCTCGGCCTGAGTCTCTGCCTCTCCCTGTGTGGGATGGGTGCCGGCTGAGCGCTGGGGAATGGCACAGCATGGAATCTCTGATGCATCGCGGACGTTTACGCAGCAAGGAGAGGGTATCCCTTTCGGCCAGGTTCTGAATTGCAATGCCATGCCAAATGCTTGCTGGATGTCGTCCCAGACACAGGAC